CAGATGCACTGAGGAGTTCCAAGGGCCAGGAACCACGGTTCCAAGCCAGACAGCCAACCAGCCGGCCGGCCAGCCAGCTGTGCCCCCATCACACCTCTCCCACCTTAGGAGGCCTGCCCACCCCACGCGCTCCGCTCCGGGCCTCTAGTCCTTCCCAGTGGGAAGCCCTGTCCCTTGGCCACTCGCGTCCACACGCGTGTTTTGGAGGCCTTGACCAGGCCTCCCTGCCCCATGCAGGGACCTGGGCCCCATTTGCCTGGGGAGACATGAGGCCTGGGCTAGAAGGTGAGAAACAAGCGAGGCTGCCTGTGCGGGGCCTGGCGAGGACTTGGGGACACACAAAAGGAGTGCCAAGCCGGGGTAGGCGCCCCGGTCCCCGAGGGCCGGCCCCGGGGACGGGGAGAAGCTGGCCGCCCGCCCTGCAGCCCTCTGCCCAGACCTCAGGCTGTGCGAGCCTAACCAGGCCAGCTGGGGTGCAGGCTCTTCCGCCCCGGGGCAGCGCAATCGTCACACGTCCAGAGGACAGCAAGATCTGGGCGGGGAAAAAAAAGTCACAAAAGAAATTTGTTTGCCACCATGCAAAATGGCGGCACCTAAACATCTTTCTGGTGCTGGTGGTGGCCCTGGTCAGAGAGCCCAGAGCTGCCCTGGCTCTCTGACGCCCCCACCCCACCCCAAGTTCGGCGATTTGGGGTAATCGAGGGGGAAAGGGACCCCGAGACCTCCTCGGCCATCCAGCCGGCCCTTCGCTCGCAGCCCTGGGCCCGCTCGATCGTCCCCTGCCTTCCCTCCAGGCCGCTAGGCCCAAAGCCCGCGCCAGCAGCCCCTGGCCACTGACCCCTGTTTACAAACACAGCCTGGGGGCGGGGTGGGGCGGCCGGAGCGCGGGCTGGCGGGGTGGGGGGAGGCCGCGCGCCCCGGAGGACGCCACCAGCAGGGAGGGACGAGGAGTTGGTGCGAGAGAGCGGGCCCGGCAGCTGGAAAGGACTGAACGCCTTGTTTTTGAAACTGTCAATTCCCTCAAGCCCTATTGTGAGGGCTTCATGCAAAACATCTCAGGCCTTTTAAAGTAGGAGCTTGTGAGGCCGCCACAATCTGAAAAGGAGCGAGAGAGGAGCGGGGGCCTAGGGCATGAGCGAAGAATGATAGCTAGGCCCCCTTCCTTTTTTTTTTTTAAGTAAAAGAGGGCCTGCCAAACAGGTAAAATGCAGCCCTCCCCCACCTTCTCGATCTGCCCCGCATCCCCACCCCCAGGCTAGTTTCCAAAATGCCCTTTGGCCTAGGGAGCAAACCACAACCAAAGCTAGCATTAAAAATAGTTCTTCCTACAGGCCAGGGGTAAATGCTGGGATAACTGGGGTTACCGGGAGGACTCTCTAAGGTGGATGCCTGGTTCCTCCTTGCCAATTTCCTGAGGTTAGCTGATGGGAGCCTTTACATTTTTTTTTTTTCTCTTTCCTGCTTTAGCTTTGGGAAATCCCTCTTTTCACATCCTTTTCAGCAGGAAGTTATTTTCAAGGTGAAGCAAAACTCACATTTTCTTTCTTTTGTGGATGCTAACGCTTTATTTTTAAAAAATTTTTTTTTAATCAGGAAGATTTTTGTTTTGTTTTCTTTGAAGGAAAAATGCTTTTGAGGAATTAGTTTCTCCTACATCTCTTCCTGCATGCAGACAAAACTATCATTCTCATATCAGCAGAAAATGAATTCTCAATCCAATTCTTGTTTGCCTAGAACTCTGAGGAATTTCTAGACCATTGGAAGTCACCCAGACACGAATAAGATAAAAATCCACACACCAGCCCATCTAGTTTGTGTTACTGCTGTTTAGTGGTGGCTCCTTGTTGTTGATTTTCAAATAAACAACCATTATTGAGATTACTGCACTGTAATCAAGTAAGCCAGTAGAAAGGAACACCCACTCTAAAAAGTAAATAGTTGGGAGGAAAAAAGCAAGCTGCGTTTTCTACAAAGGCAGATAACCTGACTATGGAAGAGAGTACACACATCTCTTTAAAAAATAATTAAATATTCACTTCGCAGTCTTCTCAAGAAATTACTTTTATGTGACACCAAAAATAGATCTCCCTAAAAAGTCAGAGAAAAAAGCTTTTCCTGTATTTTCCTCATGTCTGTGAACGCTGAGTTCATTTAGACACAGGCATCACTGACCCTGTAGCCATATAGCCCTCTTCCCCCTTTTAAAATTCTGTTCCCTGAAAACATTTCAACGTAAAAATGTAATCTATCAATGGAGGTAACTTTTGTTTTTCTCTCAATAAGGGTTAACTTTTGAACAAATGGGACATTTATAGCAGCTTAGAAAAATCTAGATATTGTCATTAATCATAAAACAACCCAAATAAAATAAACTGCACTGAGAATAATTCCCACAGCAGGATGGGAAAGCAGCTAAGGAGCTAGCAGGAACTGAAAGAATACCTTGTATTTGCAAGTTAGTGCATACTATTGGTACACTCTCCTGACAGAAGCCCCAACTCAGGTTTTGCTGTGGTTGGCTGGCTTATGGTAGTACTGTGGGGCAAAAATTGTGTTGACTATTTAATTTCTTTCCTTTTTGATGGTATCACTCTGGTATGTGTCGGCCTCCGTACTGCTCATTCTCCAGCTCCTATAAACTGGCACTATTGATTCTCTGAGGGCTGGACCAAGTGTCAAATCTGTAGGCTGATATTTTATGTCACAAATTCCATAGGGTGCATTTGTTTTAATTTGTGCTTATTCCATCTTACAGTCCTCCCACACCCAAGATCTGTAGACTTCGGATATCTTCTCCATTTATAATTTAGGAACAATAAATCCATAGCCAATAAGGAAAGTACTGGTCTCAACATAGTAGTCACCGTACTTGGAACTTTCTTGACTTAGCAGTAATTAGAGAGTAGAAATTACAGACTTCCACTGTGTGTCACACCTTTTAACAGATTGATTTTGCAAGTCACTGTACCTAAATTCTGGACTGCCTTCCTAAGAGGAAAAAGAACTCAGACCAAGAAGCCAATTTTGCTTCTTCTGCTCAGCTTTCTGAGGATTTAACTATAGCATGGACTGCTCTTTGGGGTTGTATACAAATATGGATTCAAGGGAGACATCCCAGAATCTTTGCTTTGTCCATATCTGCTATTCCAATAAAAAGCAACTCAGTGAACCTACATCTGGCAACATTCAGGAATGAAAGGAAGAAGGCAGTTCAAAGCATCTGTTTACTCCATCCAAATGTATTCAGATGCAGGTATTCTTAGCCTCTGTCCTTTCTAAGAGGAAAACCACAGCGCATATACAGCAATTAGGGCTGAGACCATCCAGAGCTATCTGAAACATTTATAGACAAAAGGAAAATTTCAAAGGGAGTAGGAATTAAAAGGTTAAGGGGGAAAAAATAGACTGAATTTCCATGAGAAATAGTGACTTAAAATCACACAGTAAACATTTCATTCGTGTTTTGTTTTGCTTTGTGATTTATGATCTATAGATGCAACTTCATAGATTCAAGATAGCAAAGAGCTGAGATACATAATTTGTCAGACCAAGGGAGGTGGATCAAAAATTATTAAATTCAACTTTCATTAAAATAACAAGGGATCACTGTTCCACTTTCTGAAATCTGAAACTTTTAGTGCTTGATGGGCCACAAGTTTGTGAAGTTTTCTTGCTATTTAGGAAGAAATTTCCCAGTGTTATGCACAAAGCCTGTCTGACCTCATCACAAAGTATTCCAACAAAACACTGCACCCCATAAATGCATTTCTTTCAGGTAAAAACATAACAAGTGAAAATGTCAACAAAACCATTCATTCCTATTAACCATTCTTCAATCTGGAATAAGTAGAAATGTATGGAACCAGGAATTTTAAACAGTGTTTTTAATTGAAAATAAAGCTAAAGCATGCTTTTCAACAGTGCAAATTTCCATAATTTTGATTTACTGCTTCCATCATAACAACACAGTACACCAGAGTGGCCCTTACCAAGGGCCAGACCCTACCCATTTGCATGTTGAACTACTTTGATTTTTAAGTGCAAATATAGATAGTCACCTCTGATTGTCACTTGCAGTAGAAACTCTCCTGCTCTATACACAGGATGGTCTGAAAACAGAAGTTTAGAGAGATGCATCAAAAGTATAAGGTAATAAAATCCTGAGTTCTGTACCAAAAGCCCTGAAATAACTGTTATTTTCATGGGGGTATTACAACTCTGACCCCTCTTTTCCTTTTTCTTGGTTGTATTTATTATGGAGACTTAGACCATAAAATATCCTGCTGCTAAGAGAAATATTTTAATTGTTTTGCAGGTTCGAAGAGTCCTGTTCAGACCACAAGATACGCAGGACAATGTAAGAGTCATCTTATTTAAAATGTTTGGGTGAGAACACAAAAAGGACTTTTCCAATTGCAAGGAGGGTCTGCAAAAGTAAAAATCACATCCTTTACCCCCAAAAAGAAAAAACACGATCCCATATTTCTTTTACTTATTATATATGAGGCAGCTTCTTATTAGCATTCAATAGGGACTCACACTCCACTCTTTCCGCTCAAAAAAATAAAAAGTTAAGTGCAACTACTCTTGGAGACAGAATGAGGGGAGTAAAAAGAGAAAGATACCCCACAAACAACAGCTCCAGGAAATTACATTTGGGGCTCACAGAGACTTGCTACCTCACTGTGTAACCATGAAACCTAACAAACTTGCACTGAATTAACAGTTACACTTTCAGGTCTGAAATCTAGTGCATAAACTTAATGGCTCATTGTAATATTTATTATTCAACCTTTTGACATTTATTTGTAGCAGTTGAATTGAGGTACCGGTGCATTATTCGCATTGAAACAGTAAAGTGTTCCAGCTCTACCATCATAACTGAGTATTACTTGAGTCTTTAGCCTGAAGTAGCCTGTGGTGTGTAAACCAACCCTTCTCCCACCCCGCCCCCACCCTGCTCCAAAAAAAAAAAAAAAAAAAAAAAAAAAAGCCCGCAATGGAAAAAAAAAAAAGTAATCCGATTTCTGTCTTCAAAATGGGATAAACCAGGACTCCAAAGGGGGTGTAACACCATTAATGGACTCGTACAAACCATCCTGTGCAGTTTACAACAAAAGGAAGGTAATATGGTTCAAGAAAATATCTTCCAAAACATTTTTATGAATTAAATTTCCTGAATTTGTGACTAGGTGGAAGAGGTATTGCAGAACCGCCCAGCTGCCATTTCCATATAGGATGGGCCTTGTGAGGAGGTTGGGAATCCTTAGTAGTGTTTAAGGAATACGCCGGCCACAAATCCCCATCTTTCCCAATAATAAGCGATGGTGGACAAGGAAAATTTGCCATGAAATTAAATGGCCTTTTCACTGCTGATGCTACATTGCTGGCTACCTTTTTGCGTCTGTTTATAACTGTAAAGTCATCCAGTGTTCCTTCATGTGTCTCAGTTTTACCTGTAGGACGAGGGCTTCTAGCTGATTTCAAATTTGGTTTGACTGGAGGTGTCTGAAGGACAGGTCGTTTTCCCAGTACTAGTGTCCGGTAATTTTTTCTCACCCTGGCACCAAATTTATATTCCCCATCCTCAGGTTTTGGAGAACCTAAAGTGCAGGAAAGGCCCTGACTCTGAGCCAGTGGGTTTAAGGAAGGAGGTTCTTTCTGAGGGTATGCAAACCCTTCCTTGGCTGTGGTTAACAAGGCGTCCTCCTCTTTATTTTCAGTCACATTGTAAAACTCACCCTTTGTATCATTGCACTCGCACTTTAGCTTATTTGTAATAAGGTCAGGTTCATATTCTTCATTAGCACTACTGTCTTCTACTTTGATTTTAATATTGTGCAGAAATGGCAATGCCTTGTCGCCTGTGTCAGTGCAGGGATTCTCGGCTTTAGCTGCTGCTGCTAAATCCACTTCGGGATCAGTTTGCGAGGAGGGCAAATCTGTAGCAAATTCAGGACAATGTGGGAATTTGGAATCTTTTTCGGAATTTGCTGCTGCTCCCGAAGCCTCATTACTGAAGAACCTAGTAGCTATTGTGTTGTTATCTGCACAGTGTGTAGTAGGAGTTGCTTGTGGGCATTTCCTAGCCTCTCGGAATATTCTTTGTTGTGGAAATGCATTGTTTGTCTTTGGGCTAGGTGAAGAGGCCCCCTCTGCCAGGCAGTTAATCGTCAGGTCAGTTCTCTTTACAGTACTGGAAATTTCAGAGTGTGGGAATGTAATCTCAGATACCCTATCGTTCCTTATCTCTGGGAAACAACTGCCCAGGCCGGCCGGGCAGTACACCGGAGACGCTTTGGGGGCCCAGCTCTGCAGATTCCACTCCTCGGGGGACTCCGCTTTGACACTGCTCTTGAGGTCGGGAAGTCTGCCGGCATCCTCGAAAGCAGCGGGTTTGGTTGCAGCGGCGGCGGAGGCCAGATGGTACAAGAAGTTGGCCTGCGCCTGCACGCTGGGCGGCTCGCAGAAGCTGGTGCGCCTGAAACGGATGCTCTGCACTGACACTTGACTGGAGCCGGAGCTGGAGTCCGACTCGGTGGACGAGTCCTCCTCCTCCTCCTCTTCCTCCTCCTCCTCCTCTCCTTCCTCTTCCTCTTCCTCCGAGGACACAGAATTGCTGGAATTGGACAAACTGGAGCCAAAATCCGAGTCGTTGGCTGCATGATCCGAGTAGGAGCTGGACTCGGAGTCGCTGCTGCAACTCTCGGGAAAGCTGCCGAGATGGGGCTGCGGCCGGTGGTGGTGAGGGGGGTGGTGGTGATTCGGCTGCTGCTGCTGGGCC